ATATTATAGAACCACATTTGTGGCAATAATCAGACTCGTTGCCTTGCATCGCGATTAAGGCGAGCGGTCTTCGAAACCCGGGGACACAACAAAGAATTTCGGTCGGACAGGGAACAAAGTCAAATTTCACGCGATGACTTTACAGTACTTACAGAAAACGTGTACACCTCCCACGTAACACCTTATCAATGCCTCGGACACGAGACCGACGTTACTTATAGGTACTTACAATAGACCGGTAGATGAAAGCAGACATCGACCAGACCGTACACAATGACTGGACAAACAAGTGGGTTAATGAAGACAACTTAGACAATCGCCGACGCCGCGGGCCGCAACCATTTTGCCGTACTCCAAATTCATATTATCTATCGCAATAGGCGACGTAAGACTGCTTTAGCTGTTGCAATGACAGAAGCAAGACGTAAAAATTGTCTGCAGTTTACACGGCTACACATTAAGTGGAACACATTTAGGATGCCTTTTGGCAACCGTTGTCACGGGAGACTAAAGCGAAAGAAAACCGCTTTAAGCCCTTAATAAGTTTATGTTAATAAGAACCCATTTAAATAAAACGCAATGGTTTATAGCGCGAAATAGATTAATTAGCTTATTTTAACTAGGACAAAACGTTTCGGATACTTTGCAGCAGCCGTGGTCACGGCGGGAATGCAGATGGAGGACATCACTGATGTCAAAGTCAAATATAGCGCTATCTGTTTCGTCGTAGTTGGTTTAGAGGCACTACCCAGTTAGTGCCTCTAAACCAACTTACCGAACTGACAGACGGTTTTCCTTTCCTACCAAGTTTTTGTGATCATTTACATAGTAAATCAGTGTCCGCTAAGACTTCCCATTAGCTGGTACTTAATTCTTTCTTGCGTACGAAAACATCGCCTGATTAAAACTTATACTCTTTGGTATCACAATTCGTTTCACGTGTCAGCCTAGAGGAGTATGAGAAAAAAACTAGTGTAACTTTCTCCAATAGTGAAGGCAACTTATAATACTTATCTGCAGTGCGACACCGTCTTACCTACATCGATTTCTGAGATATCTCAAACTTACTAGGCTTTCTTTAAGTGTTTCTCGTGACGTTGCTGACTTATTTAGGCTAGGATTTTCTTCTCTCGTCCCAGGGCATGTTTAGGAAAACCAGTAGCTTCTCTGGTAGGGCATTGAGTGTGTTAAGTTGATTGACGGAATCCCGAACACAGCTTTCCGTGAGTTCGAGACTCGCCCGTTTAACAATTACACGTATTTATCCAAAGTTATCATGTGTGAAAATAACTATGTTTGTATTATAATATTTCCAAGCTCATATAAGTAATATTTTCCACCTTTTAGGATACTTTTAGACGATATCGGTGAACGCGACTTAATCCGTCATTGAAACCAATAACCGAGCTTAAACTTCTAGGGAATAAGGTGCAAATAGAAAGTTGGGTACACAATAGCTCTAGTCGATGAGCAATAATTTCAATGCAGAGCCTCGCTCGCCGAACAATACGCTAACACAATAAGCTAACGTAATAATATGAGGTAAACGGTATTTCCTGACCAATGCCCACTTCGAATACTAAACGTGGCCTCGAATAGTTTAATAAATCCAATTAATTTATTATGATAGAAGGAACTGGCAAGCACGAAGTTCAGTTGGTGGTAGGTGAAATATCTCAGACTCAGTATGCTGTATGACATCAATTAAAGCGCTGATCACCGCGGAATCCACAGACTGACGAAACGCGAATAAACATCACGGCTTTTATCTTTGAACGGTGGGTCGTAACCCAGACGGAATACTTCACCCATCCTTTAATTTCGGAAAATTTATAAATTGTTTAGAAAAATGTTGGACCCCGTGGCTTGGACCCCGTGGTTGGACCCCGACCCGTTGATAATTGGCCATGTATCGCTCCAAGTAAATCAACCAGCCCGTCGAAATAGACATATATAACTCGTATACCTATAGTTCTAAATACAGGAAATCCGGGGTAAAGACATTTCGGTTCCTGCATACGCAAATGACCGCCCCGATTCCGCAGACGTCAGTAACTTAATACAGCAATTCCGAGAAAGTATGTGACCAACTGAAATAATTGCGAACACATGTCCCGTATATTCTTTTCGACACCCACACTCAAAGAATGTGGAACAAAGTTCAATGACACGAGTGAAACTCATTCATCACAGTTAGATTCATAATACGCGACTCGTATTGAGGTAACAATGGCTGTTGACATACAGATTACAGATTACAGACACAATTAATTAAATCATCAACTGGTGAGGTTATTTCTTTGGACTCTCCGACAATATCAAATACACCACTTTTGAACTGTTTAGTCGTGAACTATAGTGAGTTATCAATTCCTTGTAGGTACTACTTCAGTTGAAGCATAAATCGTAATGTAATTCAAATTTTAAAATGCTTAAATATATATATTTATTGTTTACAACTCATGTAAATCTCATCTAAACGAACTAAAGTAACGTCCCATTTTTAAATCTCTAATCTATAAAAAAATTATTAAAATTAATGTACTTTTAAAAATTTTAATAATAAAATAATCATTACTAAAGCGAGTAGCAATGTAACCATCGATTCAAAGATACGCTACGCAGACAAAGCGCAGACGTGGATGACGTCACGCACTGAACCGCCAATTAGGGCGATGGTAACTCCTGACACTTTCATTTCGTTCGTAGAAAATATAGAAGCAAAACTAACGGCCCTCTTAATCTGGAGCAGGTCACAATAAATGTTAATCATTTTTAAACACCCAATTAAGAAATATTAAATAGAGAACAAAATTATACTATTAAGAACTCGTCAAACATTAGGAAAACAAATGCTTTCCCAGTAATGTACCGAGCAACTAATTTCAACTTGAGTTTATACGCGGACATTTTTTATGCTTCAAAAACAACGCTTCTTGAAACTCTGCCACGACTCTGAAACTGCCGATAGATTTATTTACTCATCAGTACATACACACGATCATTCATTTCCTAGAATTCTTGTATTCTTTTTATGAAGGGAATATAATAATCTATTGTCTATAGTTTACGCGAGTAGTACACATTTAAATAAAACACTTTAACGGTTTAAAACGCGATATATTAGTTAAACTTACTTATTTGGAAATGATTTGTAACTTCGGCCCGACGTTTCGGATGCTTTGCAGCAGCCGTGGTCACGGGGAGACTCACTATTATTTATCTAGAATAATGTATTATTTATCCTTTTTTAATGGTTTTCATCCTGCTCACAATAAATCCAACGTATTTATACCAATAGTATTTTTAGGGTTCTGTACCAAAAGGGTAAAACGCTGTTCCCCTGACACACGTGTCTCACCTCATGTATCCTAATGGACGGTTGAATTATAATAAGAACTTACTAACATAATAAATTTCACTAGAGAGAATTTCACAAACGAGATTTATAAATACGGAACCCTCGCACTTAGTCGTAAATACGTAGGTCCAAAAGTCGTCCGAAATGCAGACCACGTTAATTGTACGCATTAATATATGACGACCTTGAAGAAAAATGTGAGTGCCATAACGCGAGTATGGCATGCTGTTGAGGCGAGAGGACGCCAAGGCCGAGGAGTCAATGAACAACAGGACGCCACCTGTCTCCTGCTGTGGCGCCTCGGGTGTTTTTTTACATTGGTTATTTTTCTACGAGTGGTAGAAACACAAAGACGGACAAAGACATTCAAATATTTGTTTTTCGGACAGGTGATCCAGTACATGCTAGAAATGTGCTTGACCCACGTTTTGGGTGAAATGGTTAGCACATATTGACTAATAATCCCACCTCCTTTAAGAGTCTCCAAATAAAATTAATCCTATTGCTTTGTTGAAATGTTCGACGGAATAAGAATTTTTATACTTAATGAAAATATAATTTTAATACACCCAAAGCGAACTATAGTATGAAGATGGTTCTTAAACTATAATGGAGCTTTCAATCATAGTTATATCAAGCTAGTCGAGTACACGAGAACTGAACCCACACAGCTTCATTTCAAGCTATTTATAAAACCATGACAGCTTTTGTGTAAGCCGACAGCATACTTTATAAACACATTAAATCATAGAGTATAAAAAGATACGTGTATTTTACCACAATTTACATGTATTTGAAGATTGTATATCTTATACAATTAATTATTATACTAGCGGTTGTACTATAGTGTCAAAGTAAATCTTAACCCATTAATGGTCAAAATAAAACTAGCAGGTTTTTTATATATTTTTTTATTGTCCACTATTAAAGAAGGTACAAAGAATAGAAAAAAAGAGAATAAAAAAGAAAAATAACAATTTTGAGAGTTTTAAAGGGGTGTGCCCAAATTGGCACAGTGGCCACTTAGGAGTGATAATTCTCAAAACACTGTTTATCAATGCACAAAATTTTCTTGCATTTCTTGCAGCTCCATCGACTTCTGTTGTGACAAACAACACAGCGTACACGTTTCGGAAGCTTTTCAGGTACATGATCAGCCCCATCAAGCTGTAGTCTATGTTAGAAGTGGAAGGACGACCAGCTACAGACAGCCTTTTGGGAGATTGTTTTAGGTAGAACCTGGCTATGCTTCGTCGGAACAGTAGTTGATTCATGGGGTCTTCTCTAGACTGGACATGTAAACGCCAAGCATTTGATATAGCCATGTCAATCATGTAGGTATACCATACCCACCACCATTTTTTTCCATTAATACTGATTCTATACAGTGCAATGGATTGATCCAATTCATCTATACCTCCCATGCCTTTTATTATAATTTTGAAATAAATGCGGGATCGTCATGTCAGCTCTCTGCTTCTTCTCTGCAGACCATCTCTTCGTAGTTCCCAACGGCTGATGAGAATCATAATTTGTTGCCATTGTGCAAATACTGTTGTCTTTCCAGCGAACTAGAAACACTTCATTTTGTTTATCAAATCTGTAATCGAATTCACCTCTTGCTTTTTTCTTCATATCCTTAGCATTCATCAATGTAAGTTTTGGTGCAAATTGGATTACACGTACGCCAGACAGGATTGGTCGACATTGAAGCCGTTGAGTTTGTCGAATGGTCACCTGCAGCTTGAGGCAGAGAGGATCTGATTCGAGCTCTCTTGGAGGCTAGTGGTTCGTCATCGTTGCTTTCAGAAAGATCACCTTCGTTGCGAATAAATACCTCTATATTTCCCGGAACATCATTCGGCAAGTTAGTTGGTAGAATCTCATTATCAAAACCTTCTTCTTCATCAGTAACGACACTGGGTTCTGGGGGAATGATGGCCAAGTCATACTCAAAATCAGCATCACTATCTTCTCCAATAGAATTTATGGCCACTTCTAAGCCCGAGTAGTTGTTACCAAAACTAAATCTTCGCCTACGATTCATTTTAGAAATCTGTAAAAAACAAGAAAAAATTAGTACACAGGTGGCCGCTGTACCCGAATTGGCACAGTAATGTTTTCGATATCACAAAAGAATTCACTATCATTATTCTTCACTAAAAATTGTTTTGGTTAACTGTATATTCATTGAACTACAAATAAGCAATAATAATGTGAAGTATATTATATTTACAACAAAAATAAATGAAATAAATAGTACATACCTCAACGTGCGTCCTGAGAGTGAAGTTCAACTAGAAAGTTTGAAAATAGCACTAATATTAGCACAATGTTTGTATCGTTTATATATTAGCCGTGTTTTTCACTATTAAAAACTACAAAAATTTTATGGTTAGCGTCAATGGTTTTCACGTCTACCTTCAATTATTAAGTGTTCCCAAATTGGCACAGCAACCACAAATGGGTTAAAACACGACGCGACACTCTATAGAATTAAATTAAACTATTATTACTCATTTAAAAGGAATTTTCAATAATTTATTTCTAAATCCATGCTACTATGAATATTTTACTAATTTAGTAAGGTTTTCGGTGTCTTAGTCACTTTCTGATCAATTTGTACTACAAGAAATCGAATTAAAAATTCTTATAAACAATTTAGACTTCCTCTTTATTCCTCAATTTAGAATGGGTTAACAAACCCTAGATATGAATATTTGAAACTCAATTGCTTTTTGATTTCAGTCTATGGATTTCCAAAATATATATTGTCTCGATGGCTGGGGTATTTCACCAACCTAAAATTAACCTCTTAAATAATCATGCTTTTAAATAAAACACTTTAGCCGTTTAAAACCCGATATATATTCGTTAAACTTATCCTAACTACGGCCCGACGTTTCGGATGCTTTGCAGCAGCCGTGGTCACGGGGAGACTAAAGATGGAGTGTATCTTTGACGTGAAAGTGAAAAAACCTAACGACTGTCTGTCCTCCCCTTGTTATGAAAATTGTTATGTTCAAGTTTCGAAACATTTGTGATTAGATCAAGCAATCCCCAGTGTACATTGAATATGGTTGAAACGTTTCGAAACCAACGAGGCCCGATAGCCACGATCGCGAATTCCAGTTCAAGCACCTTTTACGATTTGAACTTGCTCGTGTTATTCAAGGCTCACATTCCATTGGCGTTCGAGACGTAATCTTTCCTTTACGTAACGACATTTACTTAACTTTATATTTGAATTAATGTTTATGCGAATGCTGGCTGGCAGCGGACCAAGCGTGATTTTTAATCGGTCTAATTCATTGAGAAATTTATTTGCACGGAACGCGAAGATAGACATTCGCGACCTCAGCAAGGCCATTCGTTCGGCGTTGCGTGCTGAGGGTACCTCCTTTCGAGAATATTCCGTGCTCCACTTCAGCTTATTTTCATGCTAGCTGACCTGGCAAATGTTATTTTGCCATATAAGTGTTTTGACTAATATTTCATTATCACATAAACGGTTATTTAGAGTTACTCATAAAAGGACATTTTTTAGATTACTTAAATAAGTTACATATTTAATAGGGTACATAATAATCTACTACCGTTTTTTCAGCGCACGCGACGGCTATCCTCGAAGATAAATAATTTCCCCGTGTTTGCGACACTATTCTTTGCTCTTAATAGTCGCAGCATTATAGGCTAAAGCCTTCATCGATAAATGCTACAAACAAACTCTTCAGCTTCATTTAAGCTACGATGTAACACTGTTTTATATGATTACAACGATGTTGTTTTTGATAACACCACTAAGTTTATAAAGTATTTTTCGTCAAAATTAAAAAAAAAAACCTACGATGAATATACTCAATTTCGCTCTTGACCACTAGCAAAGGTATAATAAGCGCGGAAACGTAACAAAAGCCATAAGTGGAAGCAAACACGAGTTCGTAATCATGTGATAAATAGTAGTAAAGCTTTTCCCATGTTCACACTTTTATTGAATTAGAACATTTTTGTGTTGATCAAACATTAACAAACGCAGATTAAATCTACCCAAGGTTACAATAATTTTTTGTATACCAAAATAGACCGTCTACTGAAAATATAATTTAATATAACTTAACAATCAGATTTATTGTTAAATTTGAGTAAAAATACACATAAATTAAACTGTAATATCCAAATTAACTCATTGTATTATAAGCACAAGTGATATAATCTACACGAAACAATTGTTTGGGATCAAACACCTTTTCGATTGCGAATGTTCAAAGTTAAAACATTACATAACTGTTATGTAACAGAAAAAAATGGCGTACATAGTCAAAATGTAAAGAGTTAAGAGAGAAAGTAATGGCGAAGGCCCATAAAAATGAAAGTATAACAAATCTAATTGATGGCCGTTAAGTCGGGTGTCTGTTATCAATCACTGTATAGCGCTTGATTATTATGGGCGTGAGTCTAGTTTACTAGTCCAATATTCGAAAACGAACTATTGGAAAACGGCAAAGCGCGAGTCGGACTTGCGCACAACTTTTTCCTTGCCATTCAGAAGTTAAACAATTTACTTATATTTAAATAAAACAATTTATCGTTAAAAAAAGTTTGTGTTACTATTGGTTTTAATGTTTAGTTTTGTGGACTGTCTGAAAACACTTTTAACAGTTTAAATCATGAAAAGTATTAGTTAACTTATTTACAGTTTGTTTTAAGCTCTTCTCATTTCTTTGGTGTGACCACGGGTGTTGCAAGGCATCCAACACGTCGGGCCGTTATATAAATAAATTGTATTATAATTTAAAGTAGGTAATGTTCCAGACATATTAATAGTTGTATCACAAAAAAAACATAGTTTACAATTAGTCGCTCTTCAACATTCCTAACGCTACAAAAGCGTCGCCTGTTCTGAGCCCCAGATCAAGACGATACGTCATTCTCAATTACATCAAGTTATTTAAATTCGATTTTATTGGTGCATAATGATTAAAAATTAAACAATTTTCACATAAAATACTTTGGCAATTAATAATTGTCTTTGAATACAATTACACGGAGGTTGGAATGCGAGGATTATATTTTCATTGGAATATCTTCTTGGCATCGTGTATTGATTTTTTTACATGGATAGAATTAAGTAGATTATAGATGTACGTTTAAAGATAACGAATTCGAAACTGTTTTGTACTATTAATTAAAACTTGGAGGTCTTTATTAAAGTTATAAAGTTTTTTTTATTTGAATGAGAAAAAAATTGCAACTTATTATAAATCGCAACTCAAGAAAACGAAACAGTTTAAATTCATTAATAAACGATAATAGACGGCGCTATAGATAACGGTCATTGCTTATTACAGATTAAAAACTACTACGCGCAATTATAAGGGTTTAATCAGAACTGTTAATGATCGTGCGCCGACGCAGCGCCCACTGACCTCAGAGCGAACGAGATAAAGCTATTTTAAGCCTGTGATAAATACAAATACGTCGAACGTTTAATAGATACGGCGTGGAAGACACCGGAAGACTTTAACAATGAACTGTTTTTCCTAACCAGAAGAGATGTATAATGGTTACTTAACTATTCTATCTACCTTATACTACTCTATCTACTATACAAGACACCTTGTTTATTTATAACATATTGTTCGTCAGTAGTTTCATTATCTAAAGAAATATTTGTTTGTTTAAACGCGCCAATCTCAAGAACTACTTGTTCGACTTGAAAAAATATTTTTGTGTTCGTTAGGCAGAGTGAAAAAAACGGCGACTATTATTCGTCTTTCAAGGTTTCTTTGCGTGCTGTGAACGGAAGAAGACACCCTAAAATATGAATGAAAGAATGATTCCTCGTTAAATGAACTAGAAACATTTCCGCGACTGTATATGTCTATCTTTTGCGATTAACTTTCAAGAACGATTGGACTTGGACGACGTTGTGGGTATCAGCTATTTAAATCTATATATATAAAGCTGAAGAGTTTGTTTGTTTGAATGCGCTAATCTCAGGAACTACGGGTTCGAATTGAAAAATTCCTTTTGTGTTGGTTAGATCATTTATCGAGAAAGGCTATAAAACACGCTGTGACTAATAGAAGCGAAATAAGAAAGCGAATAAATGATCTAAAAAACGCTATATGTCTATCTTTTAAGATTAGCTTGCAAGAACGACGGGAAGGGAAGCGATCGACGTCGTGGTTAACAACTTAAATTTATAAAGATGATGGGATTTGCAAAACCTAATTTGGATGCGCAAAATAACGATTCTCGCGGACGAAGTAATATAATGTTATAAAATGAGCTTTACAAAAGCTTGTAAGACTAACTATTCTATACCTACGAAGTCGCGGGTACAGCTCTAGTCTACTATAGATACACATATTAGACACATGTAGGGCATTCAGTCAGCAGTTTGATTATCAACCACCTCTAATGGTAGGATGTGGGACTTTTTATCATACGTATTGGGAATTGATTTTAAAATCTAATACCGAGGTGCACTTTAATCCCGGTATTGAGTGCTTCTCTAGGCACTTGATAGGATGGATCTGTACGAAAAGATTTGATGCACTCCGAGTCCACATCTCGAGCCGAGCAACGAATTTTAATCCCATTAGAAAGTCGTAGATTGGTAGGGGGCGTTGACCGACACAGTTCAAGAGACCCGCCCTGCAATTGCAAAACGTGTTATATCGAGTATTATAATTGGACATTGCATATAGCATCAATTGGTGTCAAACGTACTGGTTGGACCAATCTTACTGATCTGGTCGTTTACTTAAATCTTATTGTATTCAATTAAAATCTGTGTGTTTAGCTTAAGTACCTATGTTAGTATTCAATTTATTTTATTTACTATATTGACATTTAGCTTCTTTACTGTAAAGTTTGCTTGGAAGAAATCTCCATAAGCGATAAGGCTGCCTTTTCACAAGCATTTTTTATTTGTATATATTATTTTAAGTGGCTATGGTCTACTACGTGTAGATGTGTTTGTGCAATAAATAGTTTTTATGTATTATTACTATTAAAAACTGAAAGACTTCTCGCTCTTAT